CGAACCATATGGAGTTAGTAATCTCATGGATTATGAATGGGGTGTAACCTTCACGGGTCAATCGTTGTTGCCTTTCGTTGTCCCTTTATCGTGGTTGCCTTTTATGATCCGTGAACAGTTTACAAGTTCCTTAAAAACTTGTTGGCGGCTCCCTACTTTTCTTGTCCCTAATCGTATTATGTCAATTCTCACTTCCTATGAGTGTCAAGCATATTCATAACATGCTTTAATGTAGGCGCACTTCGAACGACACCTACACCGGGCCTAGCCCACTTTCTCACCAAAAATTAAGAAAACTCTTTTTTTTTTTTAACCAAAATGATATGATAAGAATTCTATATTTTTAAAAAAATGTGTTATATGATTAGCGTAAAATTGTGATTTCCTCTAAAAATGAAACTACAATTGTTATATCCCCTAAAAATGAAACTACAATTGTTAGGCACGAACAGATTCCAATTATAACATAAAACTTAATTATTTTATTTTAAAACAAAACTTAATTTTTTAAGTAATGACCAAAATTAATACTAATGAATGCCACAAGCAGATTCCAATTACAAATTAAAACTAAAATTTTAAGGTAATGACCTAAATAAATACAGGTAATTACCTAACCACAAACAGATTACAATAATCACAAACCTCGATTATGGATCTAACAGGTTTGCGAAAAAATGTATATTATGAACTCTAAATCGTAGAGCACATCTTCATTATCCATTGATCCGTTAAGAAAATTGAAAGATTTGTGTTTTAGATCATCATAATACACGCTCCTAAGGCTATTTTCATCCTCAAAACCATCAAATAACTTGATTTTTACATAAATCAATATTATCAATCAAACCCTAAAACGAAATTTGTATACGAATCATGAAAGCATATTCGAAAACCAATGCAATCAATTCGGTCTTTGGATGGAATTTTTGTCGGAATTTTATCGGTCTGGTCTGAATTTCGAATAGATTATATACTCCCTCCGTTTTTAAATACTTATTCCACTTTTCTTTTTCGGCCGTTTTAAAATACTTGCTCCATTTCCTTATTGGAATTATTTTACAATATTTAATTTATTTCTCTCACCTAGTGGACCCAACCTAAATCATATTTTATTAATTTCATATTCTCTCTCCTCCAATTCTCTCTACTACTTTTGCTTTTTACAATTTTTTTATTCTTCCACTTACCCCACTACCTCCATATTTTATCACTTTCTCCATTTTATCCTAAAACTCCGCGCATGGAGAAATGAAGCAAGTATTTAAAAACGGAGGGAGTATATAAGATTTTTGGGGTGGTTAATTAAGACCATGAATGAAGAACAATGATGAATTTTTTATTTTCTAAATTTTAATTAAAATTTAATTTTCAAAAATGATTTTGATAAGATAAAAATAGATTTTAAAAGTTATAATTACGTATTTTATATAAAAAAAATATACGTATTTACAATTATATATACATGTATAGTATATTTAGGTATTTAAAAATAAATAAAAAATGGTCCAATCATAACATGACACCTCATCATGTTATGGTGTCATTTTTTGAAAAATGAAACAGTAGAAACATCCCAAAATTTTGGCTTTGACTCCAATTTAACTCTCTCTTTCTTTTGCCATGGTTGAACAAGCACCTCCTCTTTCCTTTAAAATTTTGGCATTGGTGTTCAAGTGGTGTTGCATGTGGTGGTTGTGCGTTGGAAGTGGGTGATTTTAGTACGTGAGTGGTTAACGTCAATGCTAGAATCGTATCCAGCATAAGGTGCTACTTCAACCAAAACAAAGAAAAAAATTGAAAATAAAAATTAAAAAAATAAAAAAAAATAAAAAGTTAAAGGGTGGTTTATAACAAAAACACAAATTACAAGATGATTTATGATAAAATGTGCTAAATATGTTTCCAATGACTAGAAAATGCTCATATCACACAGTTGGGCCACGGGCCCCTCCGGCTCTGCCTATTACACAATATGTTACTCTATATTTCTTATATATCGGCTTCTTTTTACTTATATTAAAATCAACCATATGTTTCTCTAGAGATTGATTCATGTGATAACTCACAAGTAGGGATGGCAATGGGTCCTGGACCCGACCCATATTTTAGGGTCTCGGTCCTTAAATTTTAGACCCGATGGATCTGGATCGGATCTGGGTTTAAGCTTAATGGATGGGGTCTAGGTCTGGGTCCAAGTATTGTAGACTCAGACTCAACCCAGATCTGACCCATGGACCCGTTTTTAATTTTTTGTAAATTATAAATATATATTAGTTATAATATTATAAAAAAATCACTTAATATACTACGTAATTAGAGGTTTAGAAGATAAACTTTAGTGAAAGTGAGCAAATAAAACAACAAGCAACCAAGAAATTAAGTTTTTGCGGAGTACGATTTTTTTTTCTTTCATTATCTTTACTTTTTTATGAACAAATTATTTGTGTGTAAAAAATATGAACAAGTTTTTTTTTTTTTAATGCGTCTTTTATTATTTTAAAGTAGTACTATAGTTATACAAAATTATAAAAAATTAAGTAACACCCGTTTTGAACCCGTTTTAGACCTGAGACCTGCTAGACCCGATGGATCTGGGTCCGAGTCTAAATTTTTTAGACCCAGTGGGTCTGGGTCGGATTTGGGTTCACCTCTAAAACTTCGGGTCTGGGTCTTAGTGGACCCGACCCATTGTCATCCCTACTCACAAGATGTGATCACTCGCTTTAGTTGTTGTAATACGGAGTAGTATTTCTCGTCAATACGGAATAGTATTAAACTATTATATCTCCTTATAGTGGCGGATCTTAAAAAAATTTCTTTTTGGGGCCAATCAAAACTAAACATATTACATATAAATACAAAGTATACAATTAGTAAAAATATCGAATCTATTTTAAAAAAAATCACTATAAGTATCCCTACCTTATAAAAAGTGGGAAAATACTCTTATGAATAGTGTCAAGACTATAATACCCTTAAAAAAGTTAATTGACATATTTACCCCCAATTAAAATTAATTTTGATGCATTTAAGTATTTGACCTTTCGTATTTTTGTCCTTTATTTCTTTTGTTTATCTTCCTTCTTACCATTCCACTGAAAAGGCCAAAAATCCTCATTTCTCGATTTCCTTTTTTCTCACGAACTCCTATTCTGGTTGCTGGAAAATACTGCTAACATGTCAGTTTCCATCCCCTCGGTCACCACCCACCACCGCGATAATTTTATAAGGATGATGACCCTGCTGGTTGTTTTTTTATACTAAAGAAAATGTAAAGTTTGTGCAATCTATTTGTTTATGTTATACGAAGAGGGTAGGTGAATAAGCATACTATTCGGAGACGCCCGTATCAAGTTAGAGTTGGGGACAACTCAAGATTGGTGGAGTTAACAGATGAATGCAATAATGGTACCTTTGTAGTGGTACGGTAGAGTGTAAAGTGTAATTGCTTGGATACCATTAAAATGATTATAAAAAAAAAGTATTACTTTTGATGTAATCTCTTTTAGTTGTGTTTATAGGGGAGTCAAACAAAGCAACTCATTTGATGAATTTTTTACGGAATGTAGCAGTTATTTCTTACATATGAGGTACTATAGTCTTATGCTTTTGATTAAGAGGTTGTTTGAAGATGTATTTTGCTTTAGTTACTGTGCCATTGGCTCGATTTTTATCTTAGGAAAAGCTTATAGTTTATGATTATAGGAAAGAGTTAAGACGTACTCATACATCATTAGCTAAATACTCGTAGCTCATAAATGTTATCTCCTCCATTATATGGTCCAAAGACTATCTAATTTGCAGGGGAATATACTAATTCACATAGCCTTTAATTTGTGCCAGGGTGTTCAATGAGGGTTTTGTCCTCTTCATAACACTCCTATTGTAGTTATAGAATGATGCAATATCTTTGATTGCCTTTTATATAGCAATGTGTACATTGGCGAGTTATAACATATATATAATCATTTTCAAAATAAATAATCATAACACAAAATATGTTTATACAATTAAATAAATTAAGATATAATCTCTTATTGATCGACCTAAGACAAGTATAATTCAACAGCAACTCAAAGTACTTAAAATTTGAGGTTCGATTTTTTAACTCCTCTACGATGTCTAACTGTATCGTAGATTTCCCTAGATAAATTAAAAAGTAGTTAAATAAGTAACAAAACCCCTTAAATTAATATGAGAAATTGTAAACATCAATATATTGATAAAGAAAAAGAAGCACAATATATATGTAACGAGTACAATATAAAGCACTATAATTTACCTACAGAGTCTTGATTAGAGTAAAAAGCCTGGATAGTGATACCAAAAAAAAAAAAAAAAAAAAAAAAAAAAAAAAAGTACAAAAAAAAATACCCCTTGTTAATTTCCAATAGCCAAATTAATAAAAATAGAGATTGTTTTGTAATTTGCAAATCTAGCTTTGCTACTTCCTAGATTCTAGGCCTTATTGATTAAAAAAAAAAAATAATAATAACATTAAAAAAATAGGAAAAAAAAAATAAAGCAATTTACAGAATCTAGGAGATAGACTGATAGAGTAGGTAGGAAAGTCAAAAGTGGCCTAGTCTTTGAATACAATTTTACGGTATAAGCTACAAATTTGGGCCTATATGTAATTCTTTAAGTGGGTATATCACTAAACATTAACAATGTAAAAGTTCAAGAATTATCATAGGACACAAAGCGTGCATGCGTACTATAATTTCGACACTTTCCTAGATGCTGTTATATTAGCAATAATTTTATTTAATTTTTTTGATAAATATTCATTGCAATAGTTAGGTATACATGAAATAAATTAGCTGTAACATTGGATAATCAAACGGCTTAACGGCTCATCTTATCCAAAATAAAAATAAAAAACCTTTCGTCTACTTAGCAAGGATGAGTAGGATTGACGCTTATATATTATGCGATACATAAACCTTATGAACACCACTCTATAAACCTTTCAACTTAAAATATTATCGATTACAATGACGGGCGGCATTATTTGTTTGTCATTAGACGTGGAAGCTAAAAGCAACGACATTGTTATTCATGATGCAAAGGAGGAAAACAAACTTGGGTTAGTTGCATTGAAAAAGCTTGGAAATCTTGGTGTTCAAAAGAAGTTGCTTGTTTTTGATTTGAATGGCTTGCTCATTCATCGTGCTCACCGTGGTAACAAGTCTGAAATCCCTCTAAACAGACAACCCGATGGGGTTTACAAACAACGCTTAGGTGTGTATTATTCGATAACTTAAACTTATTCTTGTAACATCTGCTCGTAAAAAAAAAGTGACTTGTGTTTAGAAAGTTATGAATATTTTTTGCATCTTTTCTTGTACAGTTTATAGGCGGCCTTTTCTTGAAGAGTTTATGAAATTCTGCCATGAAAGATTTGAAGTAGGAATATGGTCTTCTGCTAAAGAGTAAGTTTTTGTCAATTCATACATTGCGATCATGTATACCTTTTACAAATATGTGTAGAGAAATAAAGAATGTGACATATATATACGGTGATCAATATGTAGGGGTAATGTTGATGGTATCTTTGATTGTGCTTTCAAGGGATTGATGAGGAGCAGCTTCTTGTTTATTTGGGTTAGTCTTGCTATTCTTTCTATCCTTGTCGTACTCGTATGTCTTTTGCTTGATTATCTATAAGTAGACCATCGAAAAAATAATTATTCGAACCCTAAAGTCAAATTTAGTTAGTTTACAGTATCGGCTTGAATTCTAATCCTGAAATATGGGACATTGCAGGACCAACGTAGCTGTACTGACTCCGGGTTCAAATCAATGGAGAAAAAATACAAGGCTCTTTTTTTCAAAGAGCTCAAGAAACTTTGGCAGACCTCAGCTCCTTCAAAAGGAGGGCTTATTTATTCTCAATCAAACACTTTGCTGATAGATGATGAGCCTTACAAAGGCCTTCTGAATCCGGTAAATTACTGTTTCTTTAACTAGTAGTATATTCGACAAATCTATCTTATGAACATGCTAAAATGAAAGCGACAATATTGACCTTGCAGCCAAACACTGGCATATATCCCAACAAGTATGATGCAGGAAATTTGACTGATGATTTTCTTGGTAAGAAACTAAATCAAGTTTACAAAATACAAAGATTTTGGATGATTTATGAGTTTAATTAATTTGTTTCCGTTGTTGACAAGATCCGAAGAGGGAATTGTGTTCTTATTTAGAAGGCTTAGCACGTGCTGAGGATGTTCCATCATATGTCAAAGGGTATCGTTTTGGACAGCCTGCCATAGGACCCAAACATCCTGATTGGAACTACTATTCCAATGTTCTAAATCATGCAGGAGGTTTTCTGGTGTAACAGGTTAAATTTGATGTCAAAGGCAAAATATACAAATCAAAAAGACCCTTTTAGGATAAATTTGGTGAATGTAATTGGTGAAAATTCTGCTGTGTTTTGTAAATCTCTGTTGCAAAATTGGTCGTTATGATCGAGTAACATTGATGGCTATTATTATCAACTTAAATTACGGTATTGTGCTAAAATTACATGTTTTGTTTTATGATGTAAAATGCAGTAGGGTATAATCTTTCAATTTGTGGAGTAATGTATAGGCAAACAAATTGAAGTGGTTACAGATTGGCATGGTTATTGGGCCGGTTGAATCAATACGGGTTAGTAACAGGTTAGATCATAAGTGGGTCACTCGCATATACTTAGCTGCATGCTTGTGCAGCTAGAATGGCTGCAATAGCTAAAAATGCATGCTTTACTGAATGAAATACAGCCCAGTCAACGTTCAACCTAATTCAACAGTGTTCTTCGCGCCAACATAACACTTTCCTTTTTTCAAAAAGTTTTGTTTCCTTCTTTTTAAATTCTCTATATGATCTTTTCTTTTCTATAATAATTTAGATCCAAATTATCATCAAAATTTATCTTCTTATAATTTTTAGGAAAATGCTATACATAACCATCAAAATATAAACATTATTTACACTGATTTACGAGTGTTTTTGTCATGAATTCCTAATTTTATACAATTTCCAATAGTATATTTAATGCTTATATATAGCCCTTAGGGCTACGTATAACATTACCCTAATTTTTATTATAATTTTCTTCTCTTTTTTTCCTCCTTTATTCTTCATTTTCTCTCTTTGTTTTAATTTTTTTTCTTTTCTTTTTTACTTTTTTAATTGAATTTGTTTCTTACAACATGGAATTAGTTGTTATTCCGGAAGAGATCATCAATGCAGGTTAGTATTATGTTTTGTTGATTTGTAATTAGGTTTTTTTGAGGTTAGTTTCAGTTGTACTCCCTTCGTTTTTAAATAATTGCTCTATTTCTTTATGCGCGGAATTTTAGGAGAAATCTGATAAAGTAATAAAATATGGAGGTAGTAGAGTAGGTGGTAGAATAAAATATGATTCATGGTAAGCCCACTAGGTGAAAGACATTAATTAAATATTGTAAAAAGCTTTGCAAATAAAGAAATAGAGCAAGTATCTAAAAACAGCCAAAAATAGAATGTGGAGCAAGTATTTATAAACGGAGGGAGTAATTGTTTTTTGTTTACTTTCTATGAATTTAATTTCATCTGATTTTTGCTTAGGTTTGATCAATTTGATCTATTATGGATTTCGATTTATTATGAGGTGATTTTGTGATTAATTTCTGTTGCCTTTTTTCTGATTTCGATTTTATCTGATTTTGAATTCAATTGCATTTTGTTAGATTTTTTGTTAGCTTTGATGAATTCGATCTATGTATGAATTTTGATTTAATTCATACGTAATTTGTTTAATGTATGAATTGAATTTCATTTGATTTTTGGTTAGCTTTCATCAATTTGTTCTATGTATGATTTTCAATTTATTATGAATTGATTATTTTTATTAATTTGGATTTAATTTCATATGAATTGGATTTTATCTAATTTTCTAGTTAATTACTTTGAAAAGACAACTTATTTTATGAAATGCATATGTTCATATTTTTTGTGCATATGTTCATATTCTTTATGCATTCACTAAGGAAAACAATTAATATGTTTATATTTTGAATGGTTATCTTCACTTTTTGAAATGCATGTGTTCATATATTTTATGCCTATGTTCACTTTCAGAAAAGCATGCCTATGTTTATATATCTATTCTAAATACATGTGTTCATATATTTTATGCCTATGTTCATTTTATGAAAAGCTTATGTTCACTTTTAGGGAACCTAAGCTAAGCATATGTTCTTATTTTGCTTGATTAACTATGTTCACTTTCTGAATTCATATATTCAAATTTTTTTATGCATATGTTAATATTTTTAATACATATAATGAGTATGTTTTATAATCATTTTATTATTTATTTCTTCAATTTTTTATGTTCATAATTAAAGGCCTTAAATAAATAATCAAAACAATTTTCTACAAATACAAGTGAAATAAATGTAAATAATCTAAACATCAATTACATTAATTAACAGAATAGTTTCGAAGAACAGAGTTTTGAAAAAATCAGATAAAAATTCACATGAATTCGGACAAAGATCAATGAAAATTTACTTTTTCTTGAGATAATCTTTTTTATTTTGCATTGCTTCTCGTATATTCATTGTTGATTTTTCATTTTTTAGTGAAGTAAATCTTGTAGAGGAGAGAGAATGAAATTTGGTGAGAAAAAAATAAAAGAAATTAATTACAAAATTTTATTTTTGAAAATTAATGAGAAGTAAAACGTATTGTTTTAAAAAAAAATTGAAAACCAAAATATGGTAGACTAACAGTTATAAATTGATGGCTTTAGAGTGGGTCACGTTTGGGAAGTGAGGGTTTGGGTCGTGTTTTCGTTTAGAGCGAGATTTGCAACTAGACTTCATTATTGGGCCGGTGTTGCATGTAGAATAGCTGCACAAGAGCACATATTCTTATGTGCACACTCATGCACCTAGAAATAGGTGTAACAACAGCACAATATGAACATTAGCTTTTCAGAAAGTGAACATTAGGTTTCTTCTCCTTTATTTTTTATTTTCTCTCTCCTATGTTATTTTAATTTTCCCCCTTTTTTACACTTTTTTGATTGAATTTGTTTCTTACAACATGAAAGTAGTTATTAAGTATGAATTTTTGTGTGAATTTCGATTTTGTGCCTTAATATCGATTGATTAAGGTATATACGAATCTTTGAATTGACAAATTCTACTCTATTTTTCTCCTTCCTTCTTTAATTCCTTTTTCCTCTAGTTTTTTTTTCTATTTTTCTCGTTTTTTCGATTTAACGATTGAATATGTTACTTACAATATGGAATTGGTTGTTTATTTGATTTTTTGAATTCATATGAATTTTTTTTTTTTAGCTTCGCTCATTTCATTTGTGTATGAATTTCATTTGATTTTCTGCATTTTTTTTATCAATGAACATAATTATGCAAAATATGAACATATGCATAGGTTCCCTTAAATGTGAACATTAGCTTTTCAGAAAGTGAACAAAAGCATAAAACATATGAACATATGCATTTCAGAAAGTAAACATAACAATTCAAAATATGAACGTAAGCATTGGTTTCCTTAAAGTGAATATAACCATTTAAAAGGTGAACATATGCGTAAAAAAATATGATCATATGTATTTAAGAGAGAGAAGATATGCATAAACAGACTTAATGAGAACAACGAATATTTACTATGAATATTTACATTATGAACATATAAAATATTATTATGAACATAAAAAATTGAAGAAACAAAAATAATATGATTATGAAACATATGCTTCATAATTCATGAACATATGAATTCAAAATATGAACATATGCATTGGTTCATTTTTGAATGCGTATGAACATAATTAAGCATTTCAGAAGGTAAATATATACATAAAAAAAATATGAACATATGAATTTAGAAAGTGAATATAAGCATTTCAGAAAGTTTACAAATGGATTCAAAATATGAACATAAGAATTCAAAATATATACATATGCATTTTGAAATGTGAACATAAAATATCCGTTTGATTTCACTAATTTTTTTGACAATTCCAATAATAAATTTCGAACAATATTCAAACAAAATTAAGTGATACTCATATAAATTCAAACAAAATTAAGTGAAATTTACATAAAATTGCCTTTTTGGGGAGGATCCTTTTGATTTTGCATCTCTTTCCTAATGTCCATCAGTTTTTTAGTGAAAGAATGAAATAGAGGAGAGAGAAAGTGAAAAAGAGGAGAGAGAAAATCATATAGAAAAAGAAGATTTTTGAGTTTGGATATGACGTTATATTTATTGGGTGTAGGGGTGTCTGTTCGGTTTTCGGTTTGGATTTAGTCCAAATCCGATCCAATCCGAAATATAATTCGGTTTTCAATTTTCCAATCCGATCCGATCCGAATTTCTCTCTTGATCCAATCCGATCCAATCCAAATTAAAATTTGGTTATTTGGATCCGATTCGAAAATCCGAATTATAATACATTATTTTTTAGCGCCTAATAGAATTATAAAAATAAAGCTTTACTATAAATAAAAGTCTTCAAAATCATGATTAAAATAAATAGTTCAACGTCAATTCATTAATTAATTAATACAAAGTCTCTCTAGTTTATTTTATGTAGTAGTAAGTATTTGAGCTAAACTTCAAAATATACAGAAATCCATATTTATACAAGCTTAATTTTATAATTCGGTTTTCGGTTTGGATTAGATCCAATTAGGGTCAATCCGATCCAATCTGAAAATAAGAATTTCCAAAAAATCTCAATCCGATATTCGATTTAAAGTTCGGATCCGATCCGAATTGATAATTCGGTTTGGATTGGATTGAATTTCGGTTTTTATCCAAATTATGGACACCCCTAATGGGTGTGGGTGGGTGTGTTGCAGTTTTCGTGTTTTTTAGTTTTAGGGCTTTTTTTAATTGGATTGTGTGTAATTAGGCTTTTGGGCTACGTTGTTACACCTATTTAAGGTGCAAAAGGGTGCACCTTAGACTAATTGGCACAAGGGTGCAACTTAGATCAATTGGTGAATAACTTAATAATTGGCCAAAGTACGTAAATTGGGCTAAAAATATATTGGGATATAGGTTATCGTTATAACTATATTTAATTTAGATCTATATTAACACTAGTCATTGCATATGCTGATGTACGACAACCAAGCAAGTTTGATAGAATTGGGGGAGAATTCACCGTATGACCATTAGGTCACAAATTCAAGTCCCACCAACTATAATTGATTTACCTTTTCTTTTACTCTCAAGTAACCCGTGAGAGGTGCCGGTTCAGTAGACTCCCTCCGTCCCAGAACATATGAGACGTTTCTTTTTTTCTCTATTTATGTATTAGCTTTGAATATATATTTTTATTAACAAAATAAAAACATATTTTATTATTAAATATGTTGATAAATAGGTATTATTATAAAGTTTTATACTACAACTTTTAAAACAATTTTTTTTTTATATTTAATTATATAAAAATAAAGTCAAAGTAGTGCATTGACATGTGTGAAATATTTAACTTAACGCTATATCTATATATATATATACATATATATATATATATATATATATATATATATATATATATATATATATAATATATATATATATATATATATATATATATATATATATATATATATAGGACCAGGTTATAATGAGAACCTATTCTAGAATAGGAACTAGGAACAAATCTGGACCGTCAGATGTAGGAGAAGAGGCGCGCGATCTGACGGCCCATATTTGTTTAGACAAATTAATTGCGAAATTCAATTCAGGCGCCTTTTCTCTCTCCTCTCTCTCTCTCTTTCGGCAATTTTCTCTCTCTTTCCGCGATTTTCTCTCTCTTAATCGCCATTTTCAACTGCAAAAACCTTCGAAAACCGCCATAACCGTAAAATCAATTGCTCAATTTTTCTATATAATTACAATTTCATGTTCTACTGTCTACATTTTTTAATTTCGGAACAAAAATTTTCGAAAATTGGCGAAAATTGACGAATATAAGGTATTTTATCACAACTTCGAAGTTCATACTATTTTGTTTATTTTTGTTGCTATTTTATACTTATTTTTGTATTTTTTTGCTTGATTATGTTAGATTTGAAGTAGCAGAATTTGAATCCGAGAAATTCGAAGTTCAAATTTAGTGTTTTCAGTTCGATTTCTTCATAATAAGGTATTATCGCAAATTAGTTCATTTTTGTTCAAATTATGATTTATTTACTTATAGTTTCTGTGCAAATTTGTTGTAATTTAGGTTAATATCGACATGCATGTGAAAATTATTCAAAGTTTTAATTATATTTGTTTTTTTTTTTTTTTTGCTTGATTATGTAAGAATTGAAGTAGCAGAACTTGAATTGGAGAAATAATTTTAGGCTAAAATCGACATGGATGAGAAAATTATTCAAAGTTTTACATAAATTAATATTTGGTTTTTCATAAATTAGGTATAAAATTATAGTAAAGCGTTTTTGAAATAACATTTGAAAAACTTTAGATCTGTTTATATTTATGAACTTAAGTAATTTTACTTAAACTCATACTAATTTAGAATAATTTTGGTTAATTTATGAGTAATATTTGAGTGCATTATTGTTGATATAGTACTTCTTTTCTACTATTTGAGTTTCAGAAATGTGCTAAAAGTAAATAAAAGATTATTAAAAGTAGATAGAAATTAAAAGTAGTTGTTTGAGTTTTTATAGTTTTGAGTGCATAATTTTTTAAAAGTAAATCGAAATTTGTTAAAAGTAGATAGAAATTTGTTAAAAGTAGACAGAAATTGCCTAAAAGTAAATTTATTAATTGTTACTGAATTACTATGAAATCTATAGCTATTGTAGCTTGTGCATAAATCAATAAGTTAATGTGACTTTTGTATAATGGCTTGTGTATAACATAACAAAAATGATGATAATCATTGCTCATTTCATTACCATATACATTATTCTTGGTCATCTCATATTTGTTTTGAATTGTTTACATATTAAAATGGCCAAAACTACAAAGAAAAAACCTGCAACAAAACCAGATCCAGCAAAGGATATTGCTGCAGCAAAGAAGGCTGCTGCAAGTAAAAAAAGTTACTGCAATCAAGAAATCTTCAGCAACCAAGAAATCTCCCGCGGCAAAGGTGACTCCTAAAGCCAAGAAAGTTCCTGCAAATACAAAACAATCTCCAATTAAAGGTATATAATATAAAGTAAATGGAGACTGTTATAAAGTAAATAGAAACAGTTATAAAGTAAATCATTTATCTGTATAAGTCCGTGTTACAAATTTAAAGATGCATACTATTACATAATTGAATATAAAAAGTAAATCCTTAGTGTAGTAACGTAAATAAAAAAGCTTATAGAGTATATATATATGTTTTAAAAGATTTTTAATATGTCTATACTTATAAACTGATTGTGTTAACTAAATGTAATAGGTGCTAAGCTTCAAAAGATTTCAAAAAAGCAAATATTGATAAAGAGAAGAATTAAGGAACTAGAAGCATCAAAAGGTTCATAAAAGTTTATATAATTAAATTCATTTGTTATGTATTATATTGCACCAAGGTATTACATAAAAGTAAATGAAGATTGATATAAAGTAAGTACAAATTGTTATAAAGTAAATAGAAACTCTTCTAAAGTAAATGAAGATTGATATAAAGTAAGTACAAATTGTTATAAAGTAAATAGAAACTCTTCTAAAGTAAATGAAAACTGTTTTAAAGTAAACTGTTTAGAGTAAATCATTAAATGTCTATGGTGTTTATTGATAATTTTAATATAGTTAACAAAAATGTTTATAAAGTAATATAAAAGTTTTCAAAGTTGGTTAACATGTTTAAACAAATTATAGGAACAAAGAAAAGGGTAAAATCTAAAGTGAAAGATAGCAATTATGAACTAGAAAAAGATCAGAATGAGGATTCTGATGGTTCATTAGAAGAAGACAGAAAAAAGGGAAAAGCTCATTTAAAGAAAAGAATGAAGCTTGACAATTTTGAGCTTGATGTACATGAAGTTATTGATGTTAATGATGATGGTAATCTGGAAATCAAGAAAACACACTGCAGACTCAATGTAGTTGTTGATTTAATTAACGATTTTAGAGAGTAGCAAAAAAAAGATGTCATAAGTATTGGTTTTGGAGGACTACTTAAACTAAAGTTAAGAAGAATTTCAACAAAGATGCTTCCATGGCTTTGTCAGTTACATCTTATTAGATTTGGTACAAGTTTAGGTGAGTTTAATAACCGGTCAAATTACATTCAAGTAAAGTCAATAATTAATGGTTAGAAAATTATTAACCCAAAAAATGACACAAAACCCAAAATTAACCCAACCCAACCCATACCCGACTCAAAAATGGAGTTGACCTTATGTTGACCAAACACCCGAACTCACCTGACCCGAAGTTGACCAACTCGAATTTGACCCGAAGAGTTTGACCCGAAGTGTTTAACCAACCCGAACATGATCCGAAGTGTTTGAACTGAAGTGTTTAACCAACTCGAATGTGATCATACAACAAAATAGGGATGGGTCAAGTCTCCTACTTCATTTGCCTCGCTAACATCTGGCCTATGTTGATCGAATTACAATCGGCCTTACATCTTATTAGATTTGGTGGAAGTTTAGGTGAGTTTAATAACCGGTCAAATTACATTCAAGTAAAGTCAATAATTAATGGTTAGAAAATTAACTCATTCTATAATTTTAGTCAAATTTGGTTCAAGTCAATAATTTTACGGGTTATAATCAAGTTGAAATCACCAAGTCAATAATATATGGGTTACATTTGGGTCGGGTCATTTACACGTCAATTCATGTTCAAAATTGGTATCTGACTTGGTACAAGTTTAGGTGAGTTTGATAACTGGTCAAATTACATTCAAATAAAGTTAATAATTAATGGTTTAAAAAATTAACTCATTTTAGAATATTAGTCAAATTGGTTCAAGTCAGTAATTTTATGGGTTATAATCAAGTTGAAATCACCAAGTCAATAATATATGGGTTACATTTGGGTTGGGTCATTTACACGTCAATTCATGTTCAAAATCGGTATCAAATACTCTTGTCAACTCGGGTTCCATGAAAAATGTGACAAGTATTTTAGAACAAAAAATGGATATGGTAACAAGTATTCTAGGACAAAGGGAATAATACAAGAAATTATCTTTAATTTTGTAAGTAAGAACATTATATAAATCAAATAATTCATATGATATAAAATATGATAAAAGTAAATGAAATATTTCATAAAGTTAAAGTATAATAGCTAAAAGTAAACAAACTAAACTTAAGTTATGTAGTACAATTACTTATAGTAAATGTAAAAATATTACAATAATAAATAATATTTTCATTAAATCTTAATCTTGATCTTGATCTTCCAAAACATCTTCTAATTTCTAAGTATTAAAATAACTGCACAAAAATAAACATCAGTTATTTGTCACAAATTAAAGTAAATAAATTAGAATGTAAAGTAAATAAATTACAACTTAAAGTAAATAAAAAAAGGTAAAGAGGTAAAATACCAAATAAAAAAATACCAAATATAATAACACCTGCACAAAATAAAAAGTAAATGAAGTTACTTTTAAAGTAAATAATTAGAAGTTTAAAGTAAATAAACCACACTTAAGAGTAAAATGCCTAAAAGACTACTTGTTTGGACAGTTTCTACTGTCATGGGAAACACCAGCCCACAAGCTCTACAAGTTCTGCCTTTTTTAGATTTTTCTTCAGTAGCTATTTCTTTTGCACTCTTCAACCTCTTTGAACTTCTGGCAGAACCTTTATTAAGACACTGATTTGGAGGCAAGACATTTACATCAACTTCATTTGACCCAACCAAAACTTGAATATCAGCATCTTTCACCTCTTTTGAACTAGGTGCATTTTCAGGATTATTCTTTGATATCATCTGCTCCTCAAATGAAGATAATGTCCTAATAAGCTCAGATAAATCATCCTCATATTGGTCAGTTAAACTCACACAACTGAAAATCTTGGACCATACATCACTGACCAATTGCTTCTTCTTATCATACTTAGAAGCATCATCCATTGCAACATCTATGACAGAAGCTTTCTTTAGAACATCTTTTCTCCAACGATTCAAGATATAAGCATCAGGAATTTCTCGTATACACTTGCCTTTCATAACAAACAACTACATAAAACACCTTGACTCTCAAACATTCTACAAGTACAACTTGACTCGTATGTTGCCAAGTCAAAATTTACATAAAAATTTTCCTTTTCTCATGATCAATAGTAACAGAAAACTCCACACCATCTCCATACAGAGAACTACAACTTTCAACACCACATGAAAACAGGCTTCCTGGCATTCTTCTTGAAAATCATAAAATATGCAACGAGTATAAACAACAACATCATGCTTTTCCAAGTGTAAATTAGTAACCAATTGAGGCTCAAGTTTATTAAGCATGTACAACTCATCCTGTTCATGCCTTTGAGCATCCAGAGCAGTTTCATAACGGACAAAGAATTCAACACAAGTCACATGAGGGTTTGTAAAATTACAAAAGAAATTGTTTTCACCTTCAGACCTAGATGTAGAACACAGTAACCCACCCATAAATAGGTCCCTAAAATATGCAAGAATCCAAAGATGTTTAATCTTGAACATGTATGCAAACCACTCATGATCAACAAGGTTAAACTCCTCCATAACACTATTCCAGTCATCAACAAATACACGAGGATCAATCTCTCTATCCCAAACTAATGCACTTAACTTTTTTAGGAAATCAATTTCATTACAAAAAGCAGTTTCAGCCTTTTCAGGTACCTTCCTCATTATGTGCCACATACATAGCCTATGTTTAGTCTTGGTAAAAACCTTTTCTATGGCAATACCCATTGCATGATCTTGATTAGTGATAATACAAGAGGGTTCTCTTCCCATACACTTCAAAAAAGTTTGAAATAGCCACACAAAAGAATCTATGTCTTCTTTAGAAAATAGAGCAACACAAAATGTAACACATCTCTTGTGATTATCAACACCAGTAACAAGACAGAAAACCAATGAATATTTATTTGTATCATAGGTAGAATCAAAAGATAAAGAGTCCCCAAATAATTGATAATCTCTTCTACCAATAGCATCAGCCCAAAAGACACGAGTCAAATGCCTACTTTAATCAACACAGTAATCAAAATAATAACCCCCTTTACTAGTTTTCAATTTTTGTTCAAGGTTCTGAACAAACATTGCACCATCAACATTAGAGATATAAACTTTCAAGTCCCTAGAAAAATTTTTGAAATCATTTTTACTGCCCGTGACATTTTGAAACCCAACACAAAGTTCTTTCATGATCCTATAAGACATAACAACCCCTATATTTAACTTTGAGTTGTCAAAAATAAACTTCTTATGAGCAAAATTTAAACCAACTTCATGTTTAGTAACCTGCCTAGTAATAGGTGTATAAAAAGGGTGAGAATGTTATTCATAAAAACAATACACCATATACTTCCCACCAGTACAAAACCTAAATTTTATCTTAGCAGGACAACTAACTCTCTTCACAGTCATTCTCTTTAAACAAGCACCTTCAACTTGTTTACCAGGTTTTTTGTTATTTGTCACATACCCTTCTTTGCTACATAATAAATATTTAATTATAGTAACTCCTTTACCAGTAGGATCATTCTTATTCTTTTGTGATTTAGTAGTACTAGAACGGACTTTAAATCCACACTCATTAGCATATTTGTAATAAAAGGCAATACCATCTTGAAGGGTATCAAATATCATTCCAACAAAAGGTTTGTTTTCAGAAGAACATGCTATATACTCTTTATCACCTCCAGAATTATAATATATTTTAGGAAGCAAAGGCTGAGTGGGTGTTTTAAAAATTCTTACATTGTTATCTTCAGTAGTGACAAAAGAAGACCAATATTCTATGCTTTCAGACATGTTCCTGAAAAGTAAATGAATAGAAGGAAAAAGTAAATAAACAATAAATAAAAGTAAATAAACTATAACTAAAAGTAAAAATATTTTTAAAAAATATGCTCTCGCTTTCAGACATGTTCCTGAAAAGTAAATGAATAGAAGGAAAAAGTAAATAAACTATAACTAAAAGTAAAAAATATTTTTAAAAAATATACTAATAAAAACTATTAGAGATATACTAAAAAATAGATGACTCAAAGCATAAAGTAAATAAAAAAAATTAAAAAACTTGAAGAAACTAAAAAACATGAAGTTATAAGAATTAAGTAAAACTAATAATGAAAAGTTAATGAGTGAATGCAAAAAGTAAATTTAAAACAACAATAAATTATACTACTAGATTAATAACAGCAAGCAATATAGCAACTATATGCAGAAAACAACTACATTAAATCCGTAAGTGTAAAACCATAAAATAGGAATTAAAAAACCAATATCGTAAAAATAAAACCCAAAATCAAACAGTAAATTGTATAGAATAATTCAAAGAACAATTAATAAGCAAAAATTAAGAAAAATTACAATAAAAACCCTAAATCGAAAAACTCAGCTCAAAATAAACAATGAAATCAAAATAAACAAACAAAATACAAATATAATAAGAAAATTACCTCAATGAATGGAAAAAACTGAAGAATACGATGTAATAGAAGATCAAAATCGAAAAATCTAGGCAAAAAAATTCGCAAAGTCGAAGAACTCAAATCCACGGCGGAGAAATCGATGTTAGAGAGAGAAAATGAGGCGCGTAGAGAGAGAAAACGAATGGAAGAGAGAGAGAAAAAAGGAGGTCATTCATTTTGGCAAAATTACCAAAATGCTATTACTGAAATGAAAAATGCGGGTAGGATGTCAATCATTGGATCAAGGACGATCAACGCACCAGATTAGTTCCTAGTTCCTATTCTATGCTTAGGTTCTCACATGATCCCATTTCTATATATATATATATATATATATATGTGTGTGTGTGTGTGTGTGTGTGTGTGTATATATGTATATGTATATATATATGTATATGCTCCGCCCACGGTTATCTGCACCAAACGTCCTTTTTGCGGAAACCTAGGTAAAATTTCTTAAACTAGATTAATGTAAATTAAGAGGACAAAGAAGGGTTAGTCAATCAAAATTAAAAAAAAATACAATTAAGCAAGGAGAACCACCACCACTCACAACAGCGGTTAACCACCACGCCACCCCACGAACCACCAACAGCCACGCAACCCACCACTCACTAATGCAGGAACTCAGACCACCACGAAACCCCCACTCACATCCACGAACTTAGACCGTACCACCAACACCCCCCACGCAACCCACCATGAAACCCACTCACATCCATGAACTTAGACCACTGTAACGGCGTAACCCACAAACTCAGACAACCGAAACCCACCAAAAAAACCCAACGGCCCCAGATCTGGAATCAAAACCCACCAAGAAACCCATCATGAAACCCACGAACTCAGAAAACTGCCGACATCTAAAAACTCATATTAGTGATTGTGGTGGATTAGTAGCGATGGAAATGGTGCGACGATCCATTGTATGGTCGCGGTGGGGTCTGGTCGGAGAATGGCGCACGATATGAGGTTCGGTCGCGGTGGTTTTCGGTGGTCTAAGTTCATGGTAGGGGTGGCGAAGTGGATGGGTTAAGGTGGTAATTAGTTGGCAAGTAAATATAATTATAAGATGTTAAAAAGTTAAAAAAAAAATAAGGGTAAGGTAGGCATTTTACTCTTTAAATTTACTAAAAATGGAAAGAAATTTTTTTTTGTTGCAAATAATAGAGAGCACCCATATATAGTAAATGTTGCCGATAATCGTGGGCGGAGGGAGTATGTGTATAGAACCAAGTTATAATGAGAACCAAGGCTAAAATAAGAAATAGGAACTAATCTAGGTCCTTCGGACGGCTCACATGCTTCCCGTGTCATTAATGACATTTTTGTAATATTTTAACTTTATGAATTAGTTTCCAGTTTCATTTCTCAAAAGTAAATGAAAATTTAGTAAAAGTAAATGAAGTCAGTCTTAAAGTAAATGAAATTTCCTTAAAAGTTAAGAAAACTGTAAAAAAATTGAAAACAGCGAAATTACAAGAATGTCATTAATGAGAGCGGGTGCAGTGTGAGCCATTAGAAGGAGTGCGATCAATGGCTTTGATTATTTCCTATTATTCACTTTGATTCTCATATTATCTCAATTATATATATATATATATATATATATATATATATATATATATATATATATATATATATATATATTCTCTCATCTTTTGTCAAATTTATTAGTTTTTGGGTAGATTAATCTTTAGCCAAAACAACAATTGTTAGTGCGAAACGGTTATTAAGACAAACTTTTTTGGCTTGTTTGGTTAATGACTTTTGACTTTTCGTTTTTCAATTTTGTTTGGTCAACACTAACATTTATATATTTGGTAATTGGCCTTTTCCTTTCGCTATAAAGCTAGCTTAGCTTTATTGTTATTTTTTTGAAACAAAAGCTAGCTTTACGCTTTGCTTCCAAAAGCCAAAAGCTAGTAAGGCCCCATTCTATAGAGCTGCTCTGCTCTGCTCTGCTGAGCCCTGCTCTGTTCTGCTCTGCTCAAATCAAATCTGCTCTGCTCTGATCTGCTCAAAAGAAATCTGCTCTGCTATGCTCGGCTCTTCTTAATTTTCAAATAATAATTAATAATAACAACAATAATAATTAATACACAATAATAATAATAATTAATATTGTATTAATGATAATAATTTATATTAATAATAATAATAATTTTAATAATTAATAATAATAATATTTTTCATAATTTATAATAATAATAATAATAATAATAATAATAATAATAATAATAATAATAATAATAATAATAATAATAATTAGTACTACATACAATAAGTAATTAGCTGTTAATAGCTAATAATGTTTAATTGTCAGAATAAATACCCCCTCTATCCCTTAATTACAAGCATGTATTCCTTTTTAAGTATCCCAAAATATTGTACCTAATTCTAAAAGGTACCTAATCATTACTTACTTTTTATTTTTCTCATAAAAATATGCATACACCAAAAGTATAATTGCTACTTTTTATCTTTCCATAAAATATTCTCTACTTTTTATAATTTTACTTTTTATATTCCTCAACTATATCCATCCTTCTTAATTCTCGGGTTTTCTTAGAAATAAACTTATTAGGGACGGAAGGAGTAACTAAATAATAAGAATTAGAAAATAATAATTAATAATCAAAATTTAATAATTAATATGAAGTAATAAATAATTAAGATTAGAAAATAATAATTAATGATAAATATTTAAAATTAATATGCAATAATTAAAATCAATAATTTATAATTAATAAATAAAGAATACATTTATAATCAATAATTGATACTCTGAAATTAATTGTAATTAGTGATAATTAATAAGTAATAATTAATGACTATTTCCTCCATCCCTTTTTTACATTCCTGCTTTTCTTTTTGGGTATTTCAAAGTTACATTCCTACTTTTCTTTTTTAGTGAGTAAATTTTTACCAAATATTTCAAATTATTTTTATTATTCTGTTTTGTAATTAATGTTTTCTCTATTTTCTCACTCTTATTTTCAAAATCCATGTGCATCAATTTAGATGAATATGATTAGTCCTTTTTTTTCCATCAAAAAATGTTATTGGTCCTTTTTCTTTTCAAAGGATTGATGACATGTGCAGCATTAAATATTATTCTATATATGTTTTACTCAAAGACATCAATTAATTTCTTCTAATTCCTATTATACTTTTTTTTATTGATATTTATTTTATTTCAAGTTCCTTAATGCCCGTGTAATTTTACAAATAGGAATGTAAAAAAAAAAAAGAACAGAGAGAGTAATAATAAATAATTGATAATTTAAAATATTTAATTTATAATTAATTATTAGTAATTAATACTTTATAATTAATATTTAATATTTAACAATTAATAGTATCAATTTATAATTAATATTTAAGAATTACGACTAGTATTTGATAACAAAGAATTAATATGTATTAATTAAAAATAATTATTTGTCAATTCGTAATAAGAATTTATTACTACAAATTAATAAAAAAATTAAAAAATATTAAATAATTAATATTAATCAATAAATGTTAATTATTTATTAATATTACTCATTATAGAATAATATTCTTTTAACAATAAATGGTTTATGAATACTTATTTATAATTTTTATTTGTTATATCCTACTCCTTCCGTCCCTGATTGATAGTCACTTTTGCCATTTTTGGTGACTCAAAATGTTAGTCACATTTGCTTTTTTCAAGTACCATTAATATTATTTTTTTTACCAAAATTCTCTAACAATTGCAAAAATATTTGTGCAAATTTAACTTTCCCTTGTAAATTTTACTTTTCCATGTACATTAATTACTGTCTCTCTCTACTTTTTTGCATACCCAATGTAAATTTACTTTTTCAATGTACTTTCTTTAATTCCTCCTTAATTCCTGTGATTTTTTTTTTCAAAAGTGACTATCAATCGGGATGGAGGGAGTAATAGAAAAGTAATAAATAAGTATGCATTGTCAATTAGTATTTCATATTTAGTTACTACTCCCTCCGTTTCAGAATGATGTTCCTGTTTCGTAAATCGATGCAAATTTTTACTCAACTTTGACCGGAAATATCTTTGATCTCACACTAGCAAAAATTATAAAAGTTAGATATTAATAATCTACCCACCAAGACGAATCAAACTAGATCCCACATGACTATATTTATTCTTATAGCTTAAGAGAAATTTAGAAGATTATCTTTTTCTTAAAAAAGTCAAAGATTCCAAACAACAACATCATTGTAGAACGGAGGGAGTAATACTCATCATAGATGAATAAGTACACTTCATGATGTCCTTTAATTTGATTTTGCATAGTTAAAGTTAACAACTAAGGGTCTGTTATGTTCACCTTATTTTCACTTATTTCAGGTTTAATAAGTTCAATTAAGTTCAGATAAGTTCATATAAGGGTTAATAAGTTCAGATAAGTTCAGGGTTAATAAGTTCTAAATTAACGTTCTCCTCACCTTATTTCCACTTATTATATTTATATAGAGTTATTACTAATCAAGATTGCTTTTCACTTTTATTTTTTGTAAAATTTTATGTGTTTTATTATCATGATTTCATATAAGAATAAAGTAACATTTGCATAAAAAATAAAATTAAAGTAACGTTATACTCATAAGTTATGGTAAGACTAGATAAATTTTGCTTATATAAAAGTTAAGCAAATCAACAAGTTTATTATTTTTCTGAAAAAAAACAAAGGGAAATTAATGAGAATGAAGTCAGATCAACAACAAAACCAAAGGATAATTTTTACTATTTCTAAACTATAAAATAGTAGTGTTGTTATCAAATAATGTCTTATAAGTGTTGATAAGGTTTAATAAGATCAAATAAGTGAAAATAAGTGTTAATAAGGTGTAATAAGTTCAGATAAGTTCAGATAAGGGTTGATAAGTTCAGTTAAGTTCAGATAAGTAAAAATCAGGTGAATAGAACACACCCTAACAATTGATTTTACCTGACAACAAATGGTCAAACAACTACTAGTAGTACAAATAACCAATGTAATACTAATAGTTAGTCAAATAAGCCAAGTTATACAATTGATAGCCAATAGTCAATTCCCATTTCCCAAACAAACCTTACCATAAGACTTAGGGGGTTTGCAATTTCAAATATCAAATCCAATTGGATCAAAAATTTCATATTATTGGTAAAAATGCAATCCCTAGGTAATATAAAATATTCAGATCAGAACTATGGGTTTCCAAAACAAAATCACCGGAATGTTGGATCAAATTATAATTTTATTTTTTTTTATAGAAAAATGCAAATCCGTGTCCTATCCGAAACCTTATTTTAAATATTTTTAATTCCAATCTGAAATACCCGCCACTAAAAAACTTGAGCCGGCATCCGAAATTTCAGATTGGATCACCAAATTTTCGAATCGTCAAGCAGTTCAAATACCTTTGCACAACCCAAATATGAGCAGTAGTTTTGACAACATGATGGCCAACATAATGCAGAAGGAAACCAGAAAAATTGGAACCTGATGAACAAAGAACAAGCTAGAAACCTTTCATAATCAACCATTACAGATAAACGTTTTCAAAATAAAAAACCATTACAGATAAAGTAAATGTGAAGTCTAAAATTCCATGAAACTGGATCATACAACAATTGAACAACCTAATGTGGTTCAAATTTCCAGCTCAAATTAAAATAAAACCTTTTCTAAAAACTACCTTAATCTCAACAACACCAACTAAAAGACTAAGGACCTCAGCACCAACAGAACAAAAGACACCGAAAACCTCCAGCTCACTCATTATCAGGTATAGCCACATTGATGTCAGGGTACATCCTCTCCTGCGGTGGTGGTGGCTGCGATTCGTTACCCCAAACCTCGAGTTCAATTATGTCATCGTCTTCAACCTCAGTTTTAACTGGCATTAGAGGCACTGCTGGTGCGCCCACTCCATTTCCTCCCGAAATAGGCTGCATGATCGGTATTTCTGCCGGCATTGCATCAGGAGATGCCGGAATAGCCGCGGCTGCAGTTTTTGGAATGAAGATTCCAATAACCAACTAATAGAAATGAAAACATAGTAAAGCTTAATCAGAAACAGAAAGAACCATGTTTAATGGATGAAACTGAAATACGTGGGGTCCATTATTAATAAAAAGTTATTGATTTATTTACAGCATGTCATCTTATCAAGAAGATAAACTTGTATTTTCTCTAAAATAGGTATTCATTTTGGAAAATTTAGTTGTTTCAGAGTTTGTTATTTGTGTAAACCTTTTAAGTAATAGAATTAGTTTGTTTATGAGCGATATTGTATGAAAGAATGACACTTACTTGAATTGGGGTTGCGGCAATAAGCAAGCGATCAACCAAGCCACCAACTAATTTACCATCAGCGCTAGCAAGAGTGACGGTTATACCACCAGTTGTAGTTGAGACCCCATTAACTTCTTTCATTTGATATGATCCATTTAAGGTCACTAAGTGATAGCGACCCTGTACCAAAGTTGATTGTTGAGATAAGAAAATTACCATTTCAATATATTTTATAAGTGCATATCCTAATCCTATGGATCTAAAGCACCAATATACAACATAAAAGTGGGAAAAGTAAAGTCATTTAGCCCAATTTTAAGGTTATGCCAAGCCTTGTACGTGCTCAAGCCCACAAAATAGTAACAAGCTTTTTCGGGCTGGATTCGGGTTTTTAAATAAAAAAATGTTTTATTAGGCTATTTACGGCCCTTACAGGGTGTGCCGATGTTGATCACCTCTAGTACAATACTATAGAAGAATGCTGAGTTAATCAAATTATAGACCCGTAAATATGATCAATGTTACATTGTTACTGTATTTGTAGAATACATGCTAAAATTCTCTACACAACATTAGAAATTACCGTTAATGTAAACAAGTAACAAGTATAAAGCTTTTATTTATTATTTTTTTTATCCTTGTTGTATATATATATATTTTTTTTCAAACCGTAGCAAGTTAATTTGGGGTCATAATTATAAGAGTCCATAAAACATTCGGTCAAATCGCAAGCATGTGTGATTTTTTTTTTTAATTTATTTATTTGAGGTAAATCTCAAGCATGTTAAAACACCTCATGGCATGCACAGAAAACTACTCGTACAACACATTGATGATACGATGAATTAACTATTTACTACCTCCGTTTCTTTTTAGTTGTCATGTACTCCCTCCATCCCTAAATTACATTCCTCTTTCTCTATATTATGTGAGGAATAAATGCTAGAAACATGAATGCAATTTAGGGACGGAGGGAGTATTTCTTTTTAGGAACTTTTTTTTAATTGACACGTTTTCTTTTGGAGTAAATTTTTTACCTTGCATTTACAAGCTACCCCACTTGCTTTTTCATTCTCTCTCACTCTTTCTCTCCTCTCTTTAATCTATATGTCTATATCAAACACATCAACTAAATAGAAACGGAGAAAGTATAACGTAACACTCACAAAGGCCAAACCATAAACATGAGCACTAAAATCTTTGTAAAACACATATTTCAAAGGCAAAACATGACCATTTTGTAATTCTTAGATCATTTTAATATCTCAAGATTGCAAATTAAAATCATCACAACCTTGGGCCCTGTTCTTTTGAGCTTCTGGGCAGAGCAAAGCAGATTAAATTTCAGCAGAGCAGAGCAAAACAGATTTTAGGATAGTAGAGCAGAGCAAATTTCAACGTTATCATTAATATTATTATTACTACTACCTATTAAAAATTATTAATTAATAATATTATTAAATATTATTAAAAATTATTAATTAATAATATTATTAAATATTATTATTGATAATTATTATTATTAATTATTATTATGATTAATAAATATTAATTGTTATTAATATTAATAATTATAAAAATTATTTTTAATATTAATAATTATTATAATTATTCAAAATAATAAATTATTATCATCAATACAATATTAATTATTATTATTGAATATTAATTATTATTGTTATTATTATTAATTATTATTTGAAAATAGAGCAGAGCAGAGTAGATTTCTTTTGAGGTTATTTAAATAGGGCAAAACAGTCGTAAAATTACACCACCCACTCTTTCCTCCAATCCGGTCCGCTTCTTTTCAATCAAATATTGACCACATCAACTTTTATGTATACCGTTGTCGATTTAACACACGGAGTGTTAATGCAACAAATCAATTTTAAAACCCAACTTAATAGCTACCAACGAGGCAACGTAATTAATTCTGTGCATAATAACTTTAAAAGACACTTAATAAGTACCTCGTAACCAATGACACCACCAGCAATTCCCGGTTGGCGAATAGTAACACTTGAGATTTCACCAATAGCAGAGCAAACAAAAACTGATCGGCCCCCCGCCAAGCCAATTAAAAATAGTTTAGCTGCTATATCCTGAAAAGAAAAAAACAAAATAAAATAAAATGTTACAACAAAAATGTCCAATTATAAATTTACATCTTCCTGCTACAATTAGGTGTAATGCAAGTATGAAACTGTAATAATTTTATTATTATTATTATTATTAGAATATTTTGTAAAAAACCACATATATATATATGCCTTAATCAATTTTTTTTTTGCAAATCAACACCTTAATGTCGGAAAATGAGGTTTAACCCCATTTTCCGGCGTTGACTACCCCAATCTACCCACGAAACCACCTCTCTCTCAAGCCCCACCTACGAAACCACCTCCCTCCCAAGCCCCACCCACAAAACCACCCTTTTCATGACATTGACCACCATAAACTCACCCCTTTAACGACGTTGACCACCCTAAACCCTCCTCTATAGCCCTAGCCACTCTTCTCCCCTCCACTCTCAGTTTCGTGGGTGCGAATGGCGTAGTCAACGCCGGGAAAAATAGGGTTTGACTCTATTTCCCGGCATAAAGGTATGGTTTTGCAAAAAAAAAAATTGATTAAGGTGTGTCTTTGCAAAAAAATAATATATATATATATATATATATATATATATATGTATATATATATTTATATATATATAGTGGTTTCTTTCAAAAAAAACAATGCATATAAAAGGTGGTTTTTTGCAAAATTTCATTATTATTATTATTATTACTACTATTATTATTACTATTATTATTATTATAATATAGTTTTTCTTTTTTAAAAATGAAATTAATTAATTAGGTGTGAGAATGTAGTTGACAATAAGTATAGTTAAACAAGAAATTTATAAAATACCTCTCCAGCTTTTACCGTTATAACTTGAATGCCGAAGTGCATCCATTCTCTGTTTGCGATTCCACCTCCTTTTACCACACAATTTTAAAAAGTCAATTTTCTTAAATCATTAATTTATAATTTAATCATGCATTTAGAAAAAAAATCATTTAAAAAAAAAACCAAAATTTCATTTTCTACACATTAATGATAAACAACCGAGATCAGGAAAATATAAATACTCCCTCCGTTTTATAATGTTAGTCCCATATAAAATCAATCACATAAAATAAGAAAGCAAATATATTTGGAATCTAACATTAAAGCACAACATATATGTATAATTTATAATTAGTTTACCTTATTTAACTTTTTTTGATTTTTTTTATTAGGAAAGCACAAGTCATAATTGTATAATTTACGGTAAAAATTTCCTTACTTAGAGTCATGTCATTAATCCACAATCAATTAATTCCAAAAACAATCTAGTTATAAATGAAATATATTCAATATGGGTACATCTTTTTGAAATGCCTAAAATAGTATATGGGACTAACATTATGAAACGGAGGGAGTAGTACGCATGATGATTATAGTAAGACTGCAATTACAAAGGATTTCTAGAATCAGATTAATTTATTAGAATTTATTTAATTACTTAAAATTGTAAAGATATCTAATCTCAATTCTAAAATTAAGACCATTGTTTGACTTTCGTGATTTAGCACAATAAAATTACGGATTTATTTTGTCCTAAAAAATAATTTTAAAGATTTTTTTAAGATAAAAGAAGTAATTCATTTAAAAAACAATATAATTAATGTAACAATAAAAATTACCATAATGATCGATGTCACATACAAATTACTCTATTACTCCTTCCGTCCCTTATTGATGATAGTCTTTTATGACCAATTTTAAGTCCCAAAATAATAGTCCTATTTGCTTTTTTCAAGTATCATTGATATTAATTTTTACTAAAATTTCACAAAGTTGCTACAATTTTTTCTGCAAATTTAATTTTTCGAATGTAAATTTTGTTTTTCTATGTATTTTTATTATTTTCGCTCTATACTTTTTTATATACTTAATATAAATTTACCTTTTCAATGTACTTTTACTACTTCTTATTTATGTTTTATTAATTCCCGTGAAAATTGCCCATAAGAGACTATCAATAAAGGACGGAGGGAGTATTAACCAAGTCATGAAATTTAGAGCTCAATCTTTTATACTGTATTAGTCAAGCAAACAAGACAAAAGACACTTGTAAAAAAACAATAAAATTTAAAACAACCAAGAACATTGAATAAATATATTCTGTCAAAAAAATATTTAATAATTAAAATAAAGTAATCAACTCAAAAAAATGAAAAAAAAAAATCTTTTTAATTTATTTCTCTACTAATAAAAAAAACCTTAAAAATTCTGCAAAAATCAAAAGAAAGAAAAAAAAAATAAACAAGAAAAAAAACGTCACCTAAAACAACTGGCTGGTAATAAGGTTGATTGTTCCAGTTAATTTGAGAAGAATTAGCTGGAACTCTTCGAGCTCTCTTGGGCTTCTCAAACACAAATGATCCCCTAGGTTCAAAGCCAGGAGGTGGAGACACCGCTCTTGAAAGTGGCGAAGAGATCCTGCTGCTGGAGGCATACGAAGGGTGCGAATTCCCTAGATCGTTGTACTTTTTTGGCCTTCCTCTCTTCCTCTTTGACGACCCCACCAAATTCTTGGAACTCGGCTCATCGGTTGTGAGTCCTCCGTTAGCAGGAATTGTTGCTGATGGGACAGAGTGCAAATTGGTGCTTATGGGTGTTGGTGAACCGCTTTCAGTGTTTTCGAGTGAGCCTGAAATAGGGTTGTTGTTTGACTCCATTGTTTTCGAAAATGATTTTGAGATTTAGAGGGGTTTTAGAAGGAGTGGAGATCCGTTTGTTTTTCTCTTGTCTATTTCTCTCTTCTTTTATTTTCTCTTTAATTAATTTTTACTAGTTATTAGTGAGAGAATTGATAAATTAAGAGGAGTAAATGACCCAATTTATAGTAATTTTGGGCATTAGGGTTGGGTAAAATTGGATAATATAAAATTATATAATTTTTTTTATTAATGTGTATTATTATTGCATCATCACAAAAATCTTTTTTAAAAGTAAAAAAATGATATGGTTTGGTTATGTAATTGATTTTGTTAATTTACTTCTTTAATTTATTGGAAAAAAGGATAGCCTTTGAAAAAAATTAATATTTTTTAAAAACAATAAAATTAATTTATTAATGAAAAAGTCACACGGATATTACATTCACAAAAGATATTTGAGAGTTTATTTTGCTCAGTATTACTATAATTTTCAATATTTTGCCTTTTTTTTATAAAAAAAATTATAAAATATAAGAACAAAAAAAAATATATTCTTACCAATTGAATTCTGATTATTTTAAAACCGACGATAAAAATGTAAAACTACTTTTCTAGTTTTCTCTTTTTGGTTTTTGTTTTCAAAAAATGCAAAATTGGAAACAAAAAGCGACATTAAAAACCCCTTAATTGGTTAAGATTTTTTTTAGCTAATATAGTAATATTACGAATTAGTATCGTGAAATCGGAACATAAGAGCAACATCAATAACAATTAGCTTGTCATGCCACATATGATTTCAAGCTAACTTTTTTATAACTATTTTGTACTCCAATGGTTAGCTACTAGCTTGCTAATTAAATAAGCTTGACTTTCTCAATTAGCCTTAGAAATTTAATTATTTTAATATATTAATCTCCAATAATTTTGGAAACTTTTTTGTCAACCAAATTGGCTTAGACAAGTTAATTTACTTAGCTAAACTAATTGTATTTTTTAGCTCCAATGGTCAAGCTAGTAGCTAGAGACTTTTGAAAATTGCAAGCAAGTCCCTAACTACAACCATTGGAGTTGCTCTAATTTATACATTGTAAATATCTAATGATGTTTAAACATACAAAGAGAGCTTTAATTATAGTTATGTCACTCTGCGCTGGCATTCTTATACATTAAGTGTTAAGATAAGTTTTGAATTATTGATATTTTTTTAATAAATAATTTCCAATAATTTAACCTTTCTAATTAATGAGTTTGACTAATAATTTATAAGATTTATATTGGTCAGCTAATAATACTACTTTTTTTATATTAAACAAATGAATCTCATGAGTAATTGGCTGCTTTTAATTTATTGGATATTAAGTGCAGATTTGTTGAGATTTTCTAATTTAAAAATAAATACAGCTTCTTGTAGTAATTTTTTGGCTTTAGGGTGGGGTAAAATTGGATAATATAAAAAGTTATTATTATTGTTGTTGTTGTTGTTGTTGTTATTTTTAATGTGTATTATTATTGAATGATCATATTAAAAGTTATAAAATATAATGTGTTTTGGTTATATAATTGATTTTGTCGATTTATTTCTTAAATTGTTTGGAAAAAATGATAGGCTTTGAGAAAATTACTATTATAATTTCTTAAAACAATAAAATTAATTCATTAATAAAAAAAGTCATACAAAATACGACATTTACAAAAAATATTCAAATAAAACAAATACATAACATATTGAATTAAATAAATAATTATGTGATATTGTGAAATTAAAAGAGTTTATTTAAGGGTTCATTCGGTAATAAGATAATTTTAATTTTTTAAAGTTATATGATATAAAGAACAAAAAAAAAATTAGTCTTACCAATTGAGTTAAACAACTTTTTTCTAGTTCTCTATTTTTCTTTTCAGAAAAATACAATTTGGAAACAAAGATGGCAATGAACAACTCTTAATTGCATAAGATTTTTTTTTATTTTTCTAATATAGTAAAATTAAGAATTAATATCGTGAAATTAGAACTTAATTATACATTGTAAATATCAAATGTATGGCCCAAATTATTAATATGTCATTCTGCGCTGGCATTCTTATACATTAAGTATTAATAAGGGGATATGTTTTGAATTATGAGATATTTTAATAAATTATTCTCAATTATGTAACCTTTCAATTTAATTAATTTGACTAAGGGCATGTTCTCATACGTTGAAATTCAATTCAGTTCAGCTCAGCTCCTAATTTCCTTCTCTTAAAAAATATTCATTTCAGTTCAGTTCAATTCAGCTTAGTTCAGCTCAGTTAAGTTCAATTCAGTTTAGTTTAGTTCAGCTGAGTTCAGTCAATGAGAATATGCCCTAATAGTACATTACATTTATATTGGTCAATTAATAACGTTACAATGATACTACTTTCACTTTTTTATATTAAAAAAAATGAATCTCGTGAGTAATTGGTTGTTTCTAATTAATTGAATATCAATTGCAAATTTGCTGAGACTGTTTAATTTAAAAGTATTTTAACCCGGACTCATGTTCCTCACATATTTTCTACTATATAAGTCAATGGGCGAGATAGTAGTCCACTTTAAATATCTAAATATCTTTAATTTTTTATATTGTCTTGTAAAATAAAGTATTAAGACCTGTTTTCTTCAGCTTAATTTCAATTCAGTTCAATTCCTAATTTCCTTCTCTCATAAACAATTCATTTCAGTTTAGTTCAGTTTAGTTTGTAAATCAGAATAGACCCTTAGTGTATATAAATTTACTAAAAGTTTATTCAAGTAACTAGCATAGTGCCCGTGCGATGCACGGATTATAAATCAAATTATTAAACCCGTAGAAAAAATAAAAACAAAGGTAATTCATTTACTATTAAAGGACTTGTATTAATGGTCAATAAAAAAAAATTTAAAGGAACGTTATTTGAATAGTATTTTATGTTATTTAAATTTCTTTTAATTTTTTATAATGTTATTTTATTAATTGAAAAATAATTGAATAATACTCCACATAGCTATATAAGTAGCCGACTAATTTATTTATATCTCCCGTTGAGAAAAAACTAAATTTTTCTTATCATACCATCCGCATTAGTAGCTACAATCAATCTAATATATACATGTTTTATTTACCCGTCGCACTCATTAAATCTATTGACACAATAATAACCTTATATTTGACCTACCAGAACATATATTTTCCTAAGTTAAGCATTGTGCCAAAAACTATATATTATATAATAGTCATATGTATAACCAACAGCTGATTAAATATAGTATACGACACAAATACTTCGTGTATAGGTATGGATACTGATAATTTTATATAAATAAAATATACGGAGTATATATTACTAAGATTTATCCCTACCTTAATTATAAAAAGGTTAACAAAACTCTTATAATAGTGCATGGACATTTATGTATCTAAAATGTTCTTTTTACATATATTTTCCCCCATTTAATTTTAAATGCCTTAAAATTGTCTCTTGAATTCGCTAAATTGATTTAAAAGGTTATGTTTATTTCAATATTTAAAGCCATTTACTATTTTCATTTCCTTTTGTTTTAATTTTTCTATTTAGAATTTATTAAACAATCAGGTTTCAAGATCGAAGTCAATATCTTTTTACCGCACAATCACTAAATCAAAGTCGCTCAACTAAAGTTTTGGACATTGCATAGCTACACAACATCCAACACATTTAATGATTACATGCAAATAATTTTAATAAAACTACGCATTCGATATAAGTTATTAAACAATTTAACTATATATACATTTTGATAGGTTTATATCTTTCATATTAACAAAAATTTACAAATGTTATTATCATATTTTGAAAAAAAAAATAGACTTTGGAGTTTTGTATAAGATAGATAAAGGATAAGTTAATTCCCGTCATATATGCATTGAGTTTTGGGTGTTTTATCCGATTCACCCTTTGGGCTAATCCAGATTTGAGGATCAGTTCTAGGTTATTAGGTTCCACTCCCCTTCCGATTGTTGTTGCAGGGGAGCATACAGGTCCTCCCTACCAAGTGTAGTCTCAATAACCACTACACCAACAACCAATTGGTGTAGTGGTGATTGGGACTACACTTGGTACGGAGGACACATGTTATAAAATATTATATTATATACGTATACTTTTTTATATTATAAAAAATATTATATTATATACACATACTATTATAGCTAAAAGTATTATAATGTATAAAACAACATAAATTATTGCACATGATTGTTGTATATTTAGTATAGTACATGAGCAATGCACGATTTTTAAATCAAAATGTTAGTTTTTCTAAAAAAAATAAATCATAAGTAATTGCATTGTTAATACAAATATTACAATTTAAAACATACGTAATAGTTATAATACATTTTATATCTATCCCTTTTCCGTCAAATGTCTAATTCAATTTAACTTTTATTCCTCTTGTTTAGATTGGTTATTAGTTCATTTTTTTTATGCAAGAAAAACAAAAGGTCATTGTAAAAGACATTGTATAGAAAATGAAAGGCCGATTAAAATTAAATTTATGTTCAAGATTATGTATTTTTTTCCAAGACAACATTTCGGCTCAGCATTCAGTATTTTTCAAGGAGTACAACAAACAATTAAAGTAATTTTTACCCTATTTTGTATCTTTATCAAAAACTTTTGTATCAAAAACTTTTACATTATTTTGGGTAACTTTTATCAATAAAGCATAAATAACTTTCATTCATTACATGGTAGCTTTTATAATAGGTGCACAATATTTTATTGTACATCTGATTTTTTTAAAAATGTTTGTATTGATTTCATAACTGACGTCAAACTAAATATTATCGATTTCATTTAATTTTCATAAAAAAAAACAATATTAGCCTTTCAAAATACGAAATATTTGTTTCCTTAATTATGCCACTTTAATCATATTGCTTCAAATTAGTTATTATTCTATAACTTAACTATAAATAAAGATTGAAAAGATTTTATGGATTATTTGTAGTATTGGAAAGTATATATTTATTATAAAAAATTAAATCAATATTTATGTTAGGAAATCATGAAAATCTTATGCATGTATAGAAACTTGCTTTTATTGTTTGAAGTTTAACAAAAATAACTATGCTTAAATATGTAAACAGTAATTATATAGATATATTTTATACATA